TATAGGGTCCAGGGATTCTTCCTGGCATCCTAATAGGTACCCACCAGGATATAGAAATTCCCCTTATAAAGACCCTAGGAATGGTTCCCAACAGTGGGATAACCCAAGAGAAAGAAGGAATGATACTTTCTATGCCTCTCCAAGGCAACATTATAACAACTATTCAAATTACCCTGGTGGTCCTCAAACATGGAGGAATGACCACATGTACTATGCGTCTCCACGTCAGCATGGAGGCCACTTTAATCAGAACAACACTAGACCTTATAGACCTGGTCCCCAAACATGGAGAAATGACCATGTATATTATGCATCTCCACACCAGCATAAGGGCTACTCTAATCAGAACAACAATAGGTCTTTTAGACCTAGCCCTATGCGTTCTAACCATCCACATGCTCAAAGGACACCACATACTCCCCCTAGGCATATTTTCCATCCTGATGGTGGGAATAACGGGAACAATCACCCTAGACAACCTTTTTTAGGGGAAGGCAAGGTGAGAAAAAGGAAGGACGCAGAAGAGGCAGACGAGGAGGGAGAAGAATACACGGACATAAACAAGAAAAGAAGGATCTAGTTGGTAAAGGGTTATTCAATCTCAGTAATATTGCCCTTAATAGTGATGAACTACGTTTGTTAGATAAAGGTTTGAAATATGCCCCTGCTGGCAGATTGGATAAGTTTAAAGTTTATATGGACATACATAAATTTACTAGGCAACTGTCTCTAAAAAGATTTTTTGCCAACAAACCAAGTAACAGCAATATGCATGTAAGCCAGTTTGTGCATTCCAATTTACGGAATGCCTCCACATATAACCCTCCTCCACAAGCCCATTCGTATGTCAATATTTTTAGAGATAAGGTCCTGAAAGAACTAGGACATCTAACCGTTAAGCAACCACATAATAGGATGGGTGATATTACAGCGATGAGATCACTTCTCGAAAAGAAAGATCTAGTAATTAGACCCGCTGACAAAGGGGGTGGGGTCGTGATCCTCAATAAGTCAGATTACATCTCAGAAGTTATGGATATTTTGAGTGACCACACGACATATTCTCCATTACTTAGCGACCCACTCCCTGGCTATAAACGTATATTGAAAAAAAATCGTTGATGATGGCTTTGAACAAGGAATTCTAAATAAAAAGGAGAAAGCTTTTCTCATTCCAACTGCTCCTAAATTGCCTATTTTATATATACTTCCAAAGATTCACAAGAATCCGATCAAACCCCCAGGACGCCCAATTATAAGCGGTATAGGATCCCTTTGCTCAAAGGTGGGCGAATATATTGATCACTACCTGCAACCATTGGTAGTACAAACGCCTGCTTACCTTAAAGATACTAAACAGGTACTCAACCTTATTAAAGATCTTACAATATCAGCAGATACTTTTTTCGTGACGGCGGATGTCGCCTCACTATATACTAACATCAAACACGGTGATGGAATGGAAGCAGTTGATTATTACTTATTACACCATAGTAATTTGCCGGCTACACAAAAAGAGTTCATTCTCAAATTGCTTGATTTTGCAATGACCAATAATTACTTTTGGTTTAACAAGTCCTACTATTTGCAGATCAAGGGTGTAGCCATGGGGGCTAAGTTTGCCCCCAGCCTCGCTAACCTTTTTATGGCAAGATGGGAGGAGGACATCATTTATGCCAGAGACTGGCCTGAATTGGCCTTTTACGGGCGATACATCGATGATGTCCTCCTCCTATGGAATGGCAGTGAGGAATCTTGTGAATTTCTTTGGAACCTTGAATAACAACACACACAATATAAGTCTAACATATGTGTATAGTAATTCACAAATAAACTTCCTTGACCTTACACTCTTTAACGTAGAGGGAAAGATTATCACGGAGTCTTTTTTCAAGTCCACGGATCGTAATAGCTACATCCCCATGCATAGTTGTCACCACCCTTCTTGGCTAGCGAACATTCCACGGGGCCAATTCACTAGAATAAGACGCAACTGTACCAACTTGGATGCGTATTATTCCCAGGCTATGGTCTTGAAAGAAAGATTTATGGAAAAGGGTTACAGTAGCAGTAGCCTGATGGAAACAATACAGTCGGTTGCGAACTCTGATAGGGACACTATGCTACAGGACAACAATAGACCTGTTCAAACTAAAGTCTGCCCATTTGTCACTACTTACAACATACAACATAAAGCTATCAGTGGGTTGATCAAAAGAAATTGGGATATTCTACTTTCTGATCCAATTTTGAGTAATGTCTTGCCCGCACGACCTGAGATTATGTTCAGGAAAGCTGTATCTATTAGACATAATTTAGCACCAAATGTGATAGATCCACCAGCCCACATTTCCCTGTTTTCTGACATGAAGGGGTTCAGTCCATGTAATAGATGTGTGATCTGTAGATGTGATAGTAGTAGAAAACGCAGGATCACTGAGTTTACATCACACACGACAGGCAACACATATACCATCAAGAATTTTATCTCCTGTCATAGTAGATATGTTGTCTATTTACTTCAGTGCCCCTGTCTAAAACAGTACGTGGGACGCACCACAAGGCGGCTAAGGGACCGCTTGCGAGAACACGTGGCAAACATCAGAAAAGGGTACAAGGACCATTCCCTGTCAAACCATTACAGAATACATCACAATATGGATCCTACTTCCCTTAAGTTTACCGCTATTGATGTTGTCACTCCCCACTGGAGGGGTGTGAACAAAACGCGTGCAGTGTCCCAGGCAGAGACGAGAGATGGATATATGAGTTGGGTACTTTATACCCTCTGGGACTTAACATTGAAATTGATGTTAACAGTTTCATCGCTAATAGCTAATAATATTATATTGGTATTGGTCTAGTTTTGCTCTTTCCCCCCTCCTCTCTTCCCATTATGGGTTTACTTGACTGAGTGAGATTCTTCTATAAATTTCAAATAATAATTTTGCATTCGTGGTACCTTAACCACTTTTAATGGTTTTTTTTGGTTTAAGGTTATTATTTCCAATTTTAGTGGTTATCACCAGTTTAAATTATTTTAATTGTTTATGCGGATTTCTTAAAAGATAAACATAAACGTTGGGGTCTTCTCGATGTGTAGGGAGTGTATATTTACACCTTTTTGGATTTTAAATATACTGGCAGCATTATGACAATTGTCAACCGTTTACAATGGATGTTATTTGTATCTTTTCCCACACATTTCTGTATTATATATTCCATATGTGTGAATCTGTAATAGTATTTTTATTGCACATTGAGTTTGTTTAAGAATTCTGAGTGTTATAATAACATAATTAATATCTAATATTGTAATGTTGCAGCCAGATTCACTGACATTTCTGTATGTATTTTAATTTTATATATAACATGATATTAGTTTATTTATTACCTTTAGTAGAATGGCGCCTGTTAAGTGACTCCTTATGGGTGTTAATAACATTAATATGATGACGGGTGCTGCACTACATGCACTACTATAGAGTGTTTAAGGTCTGGACTTAATCAGGATCAGCTGTTGTGTGCTGTGGTGGCACAGTATTTCCGCAGCTGAGAGTGCTGTCTGAAATAAGATTTCAGACCTATGGCAAAATGGCGCCCGCGGTTCCGCGCATGCGCACTTGTGCCGACCACGGCAAAATGGCGGCGCCGATTCGCGCATGCGCGATTACCGCACAAATGTTATATAGGGAGAGAGGTCTGTCATGCTTCTGTTGGCCTCCCCTCTGATGATGTGCTGGAGCACGAAAGGCTTAGGAGGAGCCAGCAGAGCGTGATATCTAGCCGCCTGGAGCCACGAGGAGGCCCGGCGGCCATTTTACTTGTGGTCAGTTACACTTCAGTTTTTTCATGTTTGACTGTCACAGTGTTTCTGCCTTGCTTTTATGATACTTATTTTTGAATAAATACATTTTACTTACTACACTATGAGAGATTTTTTGGCTCCCATTTGGAGCTAACATTTTTTAGGAATTACCTATCTTCACCACCGGAGGGAGTTCCTTACTTACAACTTCTAAAGGGATTCCTGGATTGGAAATTGTCCATTATATAGAGATCATTTGTCCCTGGATGGCTACCCACCGTCTCCAGATGATGAAGGTTTCCTAAAGGTTATACTACATATGCGCTTTTCCATAGCGCGTCCGGTGAGTGCGCATTTTTACCGTTGGATCCTGGTTTTTCATCTTTTTCATCTTTTATGCAAGATCCTGCGTTCATTTTATTCTATTACTTGGATATTTATTTGGTATTATATTTTTTTGCTTATACATCATATTGTGTTTTAGTTAATCTGAGACATTTATTCATTAGCGCCGCACTCCTATATTTATTTGCCCACATCACTGACCGAGCCCAACAAAAGGTGAGGACACTACTTCGATTGCCAAAACACTCAGATGCACCACCCACCATTTCTTATATACCCTACTAAAGTATGAATGGCAGAAAAAACGTCATCAAGCAACCTTGAGGTGGAAGCTCCAAACAGAAGAACCTTTCATCTCACTACACAGCTTACAACAAATTCTATTACTCATCACATAGCATCCATTATTAATCTACAATCGTCTGAGCTCCTACCTCACGGACAACAACCTTCTTGGCCCCTTACAATTTGACTTTCCCTTACTACATTCCACTGAAACCACCCTACTAAAACCCACTAATGATTTATTAACTGCTAAAACCAATGGCCATTACTCTATACTCTTACTACTAGACCTCTCTGCGGCTTTAGATACTGTTGACCATCCCCTTCTCCTCAAAAAACTCCACTCTTGGCCTTGCAGACTCTGCTCTCTCCTGGTTCTCCTCCTACCTATCACAGCCCTCCTTCAGTGTTACCTATAACCCTGTCTCCTCTCCACTTCCTCTTGCTGTAGGGGTCACCAAAGGCTCTGTCCTTAGACCCTTTCTCTTTTCCATCTACACCTCCTCTCCTCTAATACAACCATCAGTCCCTCCCCTAATGCCAAGGTACTAGGTGTAATCCTGGACTCCGATCTGTCCTTTCAGCCCCAAATCCAATCACTGTCCAAATCTTGTAGACTTCACGTCAATAACATCTCCAAAATATGACCCTTTTTAGCCATTGAAACCACTAAGCAACTTCTTCACTCCCTTGTTATCTCTCAACTTGACTATTGCAACTCCCTCCTCATTGGCTGACCTCATCACAGGCTATCCCCTCTTCAGTCTATCAAGAATGCTGCTGCCAGACTCATCCAACTTACCAACCGTTTCATGTCTGCCATCCCTCTCTGCTAATCCCTCCACTGGCCTCCAGTCAGTGTCCTCCACCCCTCTCTGCCAATCCCTCCACTGGCCTCCACTCAGTGTCCTCCACCCCTCTCTGCCAATCCCTGCACTGGCCTCCAGTCAGTGTCCTCCACCCCTCTCTGCCAATCCCTCCACTGGCCTCCACTCAGTGTCCTCCATCCCTCTCTGCCAATCCCTCCATTGGCTTCCCATTGCCCAATGAATAAAATTCAAAGCATTAACAATAACATATAAAGCCATTTATAACTGCCCCAAATTATGTCACCAATTTTATCTCCAAATATCACCCAAACTGTCCTTTCCGCTCTTCCCAAGACCTCCTCTCCAACTCCCTTGTTTCCTTCTTTCATGCTCATCTCCAGGACTTCTCTGAAGCCTCTCCCATCCTCTGGAACTCTCTACCCCAATCTGTCCAACCTACTCTGTCCTCTTTTAGGTGATTGCTAAAAACATATCTTTTCAGTGAAGCCTATCCTGCCTTCAGCTAATGACCGAATCTTCTGTTTCTCCCATAAGTTCATCCCCTATAGTTATTACCGTTTGTTCCACCAGCCCCTCCCTCCCTCTTAGATTGTAAGCTCCCAGGATCAGGGCCCTTCTAACCCTCTTGTATTGAACTGTATTGTTGCTGTATTGTCTCCCTTTATATTGTAAAGCGCTGAGCAAAGTCTTGGCACTATATAAATCCTGTATTTTAATAATGATAATAATAATAATAATGTCCGTAATAATTACCTGACAGGAAATGGGAGTGGAAAGGTCCATCAGACCCAGGATATTACGCTTGTACCACGGGTCCAACATCCCGATGTAGTGAGATATATCGTTAGTGCTTTCCTCATCCCCTATCACATCCTGTGAAAACATTGCAACATTTAAAGAGAATAATTGTATTTTTCTATAAAGGAACTATCTGAAAAGGGGATGGAGGAGACCAGAAGTACCAATATTGGAAAAAATGATGCAAAAAATGGCAATTGTTTTTATGATATGCAGTGCTTTAGCAAAATGATTGTCATCCATTTAGGTTTTAGATCTACTTTAAACTACATATACAGTATAGGAAACAACCATATACAGCACAGTTAGAGCTTTAAGGGTGTTATGAGTTCACCTCTAAGCTGGTCGGTCCAGACGGGCTGGGAGACTTTAAAGGGGAGCCGGGACTTGTCAGTGATATACATGGAGTTGGGCTGTTCCTCTTCACTGGGACATAGAACAACTGCAGCTTAAAAAACCTTGTTAATAGGGGACAGCTGCTTTCCTTCAACCTGAAAGAGTCAGAGATAGAGAAAAGGGTCAACAACCATAAAGCATGTGTATGCAAAGGCAACATTTTTTAAATTTAATCCTTTGAATGTAGGTGCAGGTTAGACCCTTTGGGGTTTATTTACTACAGCTGGAGAGTCCAAAATCAGACTCACTTCTGCATAGAAACCAATCAGCTTCCAGGTTTCATTGCCAAAGCTTCATTGAACAAGCTGAGGTTAGAAGCTGATTGGTTTCTATGCAGAAGGGAGTCTGATTTTGGACTCTCCAGCTTTAGTAAATAAACCCCTTTGTTTTTGGTTTTTTTTTTGTTTTTATTTGCTCTTGCTTTTTGCCCTCTTCACTATTGTCACCAAGACAGAGAGTAATTGGAAATCCAAAAATTTTATTTGATTTTGTTGTCACTGGAACAAGAAGTGAGAGAAATCACCTATTGCTGTGACAACTTTCCAAGATGGGATTTCTCTTCGCTTTTGAGAGATTTCTTTTCATTTCCTGTTGCATTTCCTGAACAGGAAGTGAAGTTAAATCTCCCCCAGGTTGGGCACAGGCATCTAGAAAGCTAACTCACAGGGGTTTTAACTTTTCCCTAAAACTAATAAAAAAGGTTGGCTTCAAATAAAATTTAAGTACAAACATTATAAAAAAAAAGCAAAAATACAGTTGTCTGTGAATGTTCTCATTGATTGAGGTCATAATATACTTGGTAGTCATTAGTCCAGCCCTTCTCAACCTTTTTAACTTGGAGGAACCCTTGAAAAAAAAACTTTCTGGTCTAAGGGAACCCCTGCTAAGTCCCCATTCATATTTGCAAATGGAGCCGACACAGATCACATGTGAGAACTCCAGCGGGGGTTCCTGGCGATTAGCTGCAGTAGGCAGTCCCATTGAAAGCAAAACAGTGCATCCATGGTTGATCGCTCACAGGTGATCGCTCTGAGTGATTACATGAGAGCGGCATCACTTAGCTATGTAAGCCAGCAGCCTTCCATTGCAATCAATGGGGCTGCATTCCCGCAGATAATAACTGGCAACCCCTGCTGGGGTTCTTGCATGTAATGGGTGTCAGCCCCATGCGCAAGTGTGAATGGGACCTTATAATTACTATATCTACAGCTCATGACACATTAGCATGATAGTTAGTGGGAAAATGCTCCTTATGTTTGTGGTCATTGGAAAGAACTTCCCCTTACAGATGGCTAAAAGGATTATTGTTGTAACTTTTCTGAGAGGCAGAAGATTCCAATTGCTCAAGGAACTCCCAGCAAACTCTGAAGGGACTTTTGGTTGAGAAAGGCTGCATTAGTCTCATTCAGCTGGACTTAAAGATGTTTCACTTCTCATCCAAGTAGCTTCCTCAGCTTCAACAAATGTCACTAGATGAGGAAGTTGGGGAATAAACTGGGATAGAGGCCTTGAACACCATCTGCCCCCCAAATAAAATACAGTTTTTACATCTCTACATCTCTCACCTTCAGCCATGTAACTTGAACAGTTAACAACTGACCCGAGGTGACTGGATTAGGTAATTAAATGGGGTGGCTAGTAGAAGTCGATCACATTCAACTGGACTTGTTCTGTCATGTTGAAGATGTTCTTCAGCTTCTACAAGTCACTTCTTCAATTCTAATGCTTGTAAAAAAGATACCCCAGCATTTATATCCACCCAGGTAGCACTGACACCATAATCCATTCACCGTGGAATATGTCAAGGTAGATGTTGGTTGTCTGAGAACAGGATGGGATGTGTGAAAGCGTTGGAAGCACCCTGTTCTAGGAGATGTTCAATATCCACAATGCAATTTTGATATCTCATTTGAAATCCCATTATCAGCTGAGAGGAGGAGTCCCTAATCATATGCAAACATCCACCAAAGATGCACTTCTACTCCCGTTACTCAGTCCCCTTCATCCAATCACCATGGAACGTGACAAGGTAGATGTTGATTGTCCAAGGACAGGATGGGAGGTATGAAAGCGTTGGAAGCACCCTGTTCTAGGTGATGTTCAATATCCACAATGCGATTTTGATATCTCATTTGAAATCCCATTATCAGCTGAGAGGAGGAGCCCCTAATCATATGCAAACATCCACCAAAGATGCACTTTTACTCATGTTACTCAGTCCCCTTCATCCAATCACCATGGAACGTGACAAGGTAGATGTTGATTGTCCAAGGACAAGGATGGGAGGTGTGAAAGTTGTGAAACTACCCTGTTTTAGTTACATAATCCCAACCTTGGTGTAAGAAAGTCTGCACAGGTATAAATCCTTTGATTTACATGGCTGAAGTTGCGAATTGCTGTCAAATCACCACTGTAGAGATGTTCAAATAGAATGGGCTTTTCTACACAGGCCAGCTGAGACCGTTCAGCATACCTTCAACCAGGGGCGGACTGACAACTCATGGGGCCCCCGGGCAATAGGGGATCATGGGGCCCCTTTGTCCTTGCCTAAACTAAAAAAAAAGCCTATGAAAAAGGTACCAGGTGCATCTCATGGGGCCCCCTACTGACCCCGGGCCCTCGGGCAGTGCCCGAGTTTCCTATTGGTCAGTCCACCCCTGCCTTCAACATAGGTTCAGGTGGCCAGCGTGCAAGAATCCTATATGTGCAAAACATGGAGTCGCAGGTCCCCATCCCTGTTCAAGGATGGTTGTTCCAGTTTAATGTAGATAGTCTTGTTCAGGCCTCTACATATAATGCCATTTTAACATCTTTACCCCGGCAATTTGAAAATTCACACTTTCAGCCATGTAAACGGAAGGATTAACACCTATGTAGACTTCTTGATACCAAGGATGGGATTATGTAACCAGAACAGGGTGGTTTTATAACTTTCCCATCACTGATCCTGTTCTTGGACAACCAACATCTGCTTTGACACAGCTCATGGTGTTTGGATGAAGGAGACTGAGTTGCCAGTGTCGATATACAGTAAATGCTCCGGTTTCGTCCTGACACTCAATGGATAGGAAATGTCTTCAATATAGCAGAACAAGTCCAACTGAATGTGACTAATAGTTGTACCATGACCTGGATAAATGAGAACATTCACAAGGAACAGAATTGTTTTACAAACTTTCCATCTTGTTCTTAGACAATCAACATCTGCCTTGACACACGCCATGGTGATTTTATTAAGGTGACTTGTATATCTGTGTTGATATATTCCTTGCAGCCGTTAGATCTTAGGAAATTACTATGATGAGTCTCAAAACGTCTTCAACATTACAGAACAAGTCCAGTTGAATATGACAATTTCTTACCTGGAACTTCTTGCTATTGATTAACAAAGCTAAACAAAGCCTTAGAATTAGCAGCATCCTGCTGGGCTTTGTGGTGTTAGCTGTTGAGCTACCTATCTAATAGTCCTTATAGGCATTGGCCAGCTGAAAAAGCACACATGTACATAAGGGGGGTGCGAATTGCGAGACAGTGGCGTAGTGTTGTCAGCCTGCAACAGAGTGCTATTCCGGGCAGAAGAAACTTTGCAATAGATTCACAAGAATGTTTTGATTTAGAAAACTGTATACAGAGAGACGTGATGCCAAACATACTTAAAAAAAGATTTACATTTTTCATATACTTCCAAAACCTCTTCAAGAAAACTTAAACCCACCTTAGATTGCTGTAGGCCCGAGCTAATTTCCCAGAAATTCGGTCAGAACCAAACACTACAACCCTCAAAGTTGAAGCTTTGGTGTCCTCGTTGCAGCTCAGAAATGGTCTTCTCTTTAGGGCTAGCATTTGGTTCTGTTGGATCTCCCAAATATGGGCACCAAG